CCGAGTGGCAGGGGGCTGTGGCGGCGGCTGCCTCGACTTCCCTCGCGGGCGCTGAAGAGAACCCTCAGACCGCTCCCGGGCCCCAGGCGCTGGATGACTGGCACGAGGAGAGCGCATCGCACCTGGTGAGCGACCCCACCGCCCCGTCCCCGCGTGGCCGTGACCGCAGCCCGCACCGTGCCGCGTTGCTGACGGGGACTGGAGGCGGGGGTAGGCGGCAGTGGTCGGCTGGTGGTCCTGTCGATGTTGGGCAGGGTCGATTTGCAGGCCTGGGCGGGGGACAGCGGGTGGTGACGCGTACAGGACTAGGGCTGCCAGGTGCGGGGGCTCCCACACGGGCTGGAAGTTTATGTCGATGCCTTTGCCGAGGTCTTAGCGTGCAGAGGTAAGGAGCGGAAGCGCCCCGGTGAGCAAGCGGGAGGTGGGCGAGACGGGACCCCTACCCAACACCGCGGGAAGGTGCGCAGTGGAGGTCTGTGCCTGCCCCGGGCGCGCGTCCAAGCTTGCGTGGTCGGGAGCGAAGGGCAGGGGTCCGGGTGGCCCCGGCTTCGCGGCCCCATGGTCGCCGCCTCGCAGCCCCTCAGCTGGGGCGGGTTTCCTGTTCGAGTTACAAGGCTTTTGTGGCGCGCGCGAGAAACCGGGAGGTGGTGGGACTTGGGCTCAACTCCGCCAAGCGCTTTGGTTAATGAGGGAGACTGAGGCTGGGGGCCGCCCTGAACGTCGCTGCCGGGGATGCAGAGGCCTTGGGGACCCGCCTGCCCAGTGAGCTGCAGGCTGGCTAGTCCCTTTCCGCGGGCATCTTTCCGCCGATCAACGGATTTCGCATCCCCTGGCTCAGAGCTCCGGGGCCGGAGGCAGATCTGGGCCCCGGAGGGAACTGTGCACCCAAGATGTGCGGGCGAACCGCCGCGGGGGAGCGACGTGTCGCGGATCTGCGCCCGCGGCGCGGGGTGCGGGGCCTAGCGCAGTCAGAGGCGGATTCCCGCGGCTTTGGCGGGAAGCGCATTCACCTCCTCGCCCTTTGCTCGCTCGGTACCTGGATGCGGCTGCTCAGAGTTGGGATTTAACTTTCCTGCGCCTGCGGCGTCCCAGGGATCCCCGGCAGGGGGCGCTGCGAGCGAGCTCTGGAGGAGGAAGAGAGGATGCTAAGAGCTGCGACTCCGTCCCGGGTGAGTGGGTGATGGTCCCCGTCAGCACACAGCAGGACCAGGCAGCGCTTGCAGTAATTTCATAGGCGTGGAGGATGGGGGCAGCCGATCTGTTGGCCAGAGGGAGCTGTCAGCATCGCTAGAAGGAGGGACAGGAAAGGTGGTTGCCAAACAGAAGTTCTCTAAATAGAAAGGTTCCTTGCAGAGACAGACATATCCCTGCAAAAACCCTTCCTGTCTGTGTCTGTCTTCCTCCCTGTGACGATTGTCTCTCTTCAGAAAGAAATCGAAATTGAGCGAAGGTAGTGCGAATTATGTTTTAATAGTGACCTTATAGTTCCGCTTCTCAGGAGCACATTAGTTAAAACGCCAGGAGTTACAAATGATCGTTGCAGCTTGTTTTTAAGAAAAACAATCACATGTCACCGTTAGCTTCTGCAGAACAGCTCTGTCATCATGACCAAGTTTGGGAACAGCAGATATGTTATTAATTATAGTTAGACTTTCGTAAGGAGACACAGAAAGACAAAAACAGACTTTACTACAGAAGATTTTTAACACCTAATTAGGAGTGCGAAATTAATTACTAATTAATGCTGGTATCATTATTGAAGATAGGGCGAAGTTTATCCACTGTTTTGAGCGACCACTTCACAATTGCATTCGAGCAGATAATACCCTAAGTCGTGTCTCACTTATGTAACTTTTTTTGTCTCTTCCTGTTTACCCCAAAAGAAACATGGATTTTTTTTTTAATCCCCAAAGATTTTTTATCCATGTTTGTTTTAAATGAAAAAGTCCGAAATGTAACTGGGCCACTTGAAATGCAGATTTCTTTTTCCTTGAGTTCCTTTCTTGCAAAAACTTTACCAGGAAATAGCTCCTCCTGGGCTTTGCTCAGGTCACACTGATCATACGGAATTGTGGGTAGTACCCGCTTTCACACGCTTTTAGCCTGTACACACTTTTCTTAACAGGGAGAAGATGAATGACGCTAATCATTTTATGCCTTTTACGAATCGTACTAACTTATTTGATGGTTTTAATGGCAAACAGCTGCGAGATCCTGCCGAGAGCAAAGACTTTGTTCTCCTGGGTGGTAAAGCTTGTCTCTTTACAAAAGAGGTTTTTGAGATGTTCAGAATTTGGTAATAATAAGCCTGTGTTCTTCACTGCCGTTTCTTTTAAGTTTTTTCTTCAGCATGTCTGGATAAATGGCACATAGAAACCTATAGTGCAAGGACTCTGGGACCCTAATGAATATATGCACATTTATGTAAAGTTTTAGCTTAAGTCATAGAGGGTCCATGCTTTCCGAAGCCCACCCATGGCTTTACAGTGAGAAATCTTCAGAGTCACTTTAGACTCTTGATCAGGGACAAATGTTAAAACCAACTTTTCTCTGTGCTGCATGTCAGCAACTTGAGACTATTTCAGAAGCTTCTGATGTTAGAAACAGCTGTTTACCTGAACACTCCATGGTTTTTATTAACTTAGTGATTATTTTTAATGATTCCAAATATCCTTTTTTTTTTTTGATTATAAAGTCATTGAAATTGAGGATTTGCTTCTTGTATACATAAATGTCCAGCCAAAGGTATATAAGCATTCTGTCACATGAACAGGTAATCATTAACTCTAGACTTAACTAAGATTAGAAACCACACCCTAAGGTGAGGCTGGGGTTACACATCATATAGTTTGCAGGATAGAACAAATCGATTAGTTCGTAATGTGTCCCAGTCAAGGAATTCATTTTTGTAGTAGTTTCTGTACAGCGTTTGAGAAAAGTTGTCCCACATTCTGCAGCAACCCCTCCATAATTCTTAATTCTAAAATTATACCAAATTTGTATTTAAACACCCTTCTGAGATTGTCGATATAGTTACTCAAAGTGCTTAGGGTATAATTATAACACCGAGGTGACACATTTTTAGTGTTAAAATAACTTTTAAATGTAAATATGGTTTCTAACAAGTGGAGCTGCCCCGGAGTGCAGAGTGTGTGATGTGGGTCCTTGGCCATTTCTGCCCGATGTATTTGCAAATTCGGACAGAGAAAGTGAACCATTTTCTTGAGTCCTAAGATGAGGATTCATAAGTGCTTTAGGGTGTTCAGACTTTAGGATGTTTCTATGTTCTGCTGTTGACAAGACATTTTCACATATGTTCCCAGCAAACTTCCAAAATTGAGATGCAGAATTTTTGTTGAAAATTATAGGTTTTTATCACTCTGCCTTCTGCCTTGTGGAAATGGTCTGCCATAGATAGGGGACAATCTGCTGTCTCTAATTGGTAGCATTATAAAGATAAATTTGGCAGGTGAGGAGCAGCTTACCGGGAAGCAGTTTGAAGAAGCAGCTTTCGGTATGCTTGATAAATATATCACTTATTTCTCTGATGTATTTGTTAGGTCCTGGTTGTCTGATATATAAAATCAATTTCTAACGGCAAGAGAGGGAGGAAAAAAAATTAAAGAAGCTATAACATACATAGATAACCATTTCACTTTCAAAGCGCCTACCCAAAACTTGTTTTGATTCAGAATTTAAGCCAAACAGAACAAAGCAAATTAAAACTTGATCCCAGAGAAGATAGTATATAATAAGTGATTTACTATAATGTCCTGGTGTGGTCACAGTTACTCTTCGCCATATAAAGGTTCTAGAGCTAAGGAAACCTGGCTCTGAATTTATTTCACCGAGTATTTTGAAGATAGGCAACTTCAAAGACAAGTTATATTTCTCCCGGGGCATGACATTTAAAATAGGATTAACCCAACAGTGGGTTCAAGAAAACAGGAAATTTTCTCCAAAGAATTGCCGTTGTCTTTTTAAAAAAATCTTTTTTTTTTTTTTGTTGAAGATTGATGGTGGTTTAACAGGAGGAAACGTGAGCACATTTATTTTCCTTTACTAAGTTTTAAAACATATTGGCACGGTCCTGTCGCATTTGAAAAAAATAAAATCATTCTATTCTTTATTCTCTTTTCCCATACGTACTAGAATTGGTTTCTGGATTAAACTGAAAAACATTAAATTTTAAAAGAGAATAAATTTATAGGGGGTGAATTTCTTTTATTACCGGAAGGCCATGAACCCACTCATCTTTTATCGTCCCATCTTTCACTCATTGTCACCATGTCTCTGTGGAATGGGCTAACTAGAGTTCAAAGGGAATGACGAGGAAGTATACGCTGGAACAATTTTATTTTATGTCACATTTTTGTGTACATTTGAGAGTAAATCACATTACTGCGATAGGTAATTCAATTACAGATATGTATGATAAGTGACCAGGAGA